CACCCAGGCGCCCCAGTACTTACTGATTCTTAACCAGAAACCAGGCTCACATACTTGTTATCTGCCTTATCTCATTAAAAAATAGTATATGCCTTTTGTAAGTGGGGCAACTGAGGCTCAGAAGAGTCACCTGATACTGTCCAAGTTAGGCTTTGAAACATAATTATACCTGGTTCCAGAGTCTGCCCTCTTAACCACTGTGTTATCACCTCTCATGTTTTATATAAGTGAATGTGCATGTATTTGGGAACCAAGATGTGAACATTCTTCATTCTCTAACAAGTTACAGATCACTTGTGGCCTTTTCTAGCCAGTGGGTTGAACCAGATAGCCTTTCAGGTCTTGCCCAGGAAATGAGCACCCTGTCAGGTGTGAACACAGGACCAGAGCTGGATTGGGTTGCCATGGCAGCAGGAATAGCAGGATCAGAGAGGAATGGCCCACTGGACAGTGAGCAGCAGTGTGGTTGGATTTCCTCACTAGTATACATCCGACAGTTACTGCTGATTTGTTTCTCTGTAATGAAAACATTCGGCATTTCCAGGTCTTTTCAAAAGGCGAGGAAGTGGAAATGAAATTAAGAGGGCCTGAAGCTCTTTTTAATTAACTCTGAAAATCTAAATTACAAGCCACAATACCACATCTGGGGTGTGTGTGTATGTGTGTGTGTAAGTAGCAATTATCATTTACTTTCAGATATAAGGTTGAGGAAAGAATTTCTGCAGCTCTTTTTTTAACACAAAGGTTTGTGTTTTTTTGTTTTTTGCTTTTTGTGTTTATGACACATAAGGAAGGTAGACCTTTCCAAAGAATGTTAAACTCAACAGTGGACTTAAACATTACTTCCTTGGTATCTTTGTTTGGTTTCGGTTGTTGCTGAGAAAATAATTTCAATAAGAGGTACCAAAAAAACACCACAATATTTATACTTTGACCCATTGTTCAGATGTTGCCACAATTTATTTTTAAGCCATGTTCCCAGACCATCAAATATTACCTAATCTGGTAACTATTAAGCATTCATTTATTTGTTCGTTTGGAATATAAAGTTTGAATGTCTGCTGAATGATAGGTCCAATGCAAAGTGTTGAGGATGCAGAAATTAAAGCTCCTCTTGCACTGAATCCCTCCATAGGGCAGGTGTCCTGGTAAATGTGGCTTCTTAATCCAAGGGAGAGAAGCAAACACAGTGGGTGCCATTGGCTGCATTTTATTGTTTCTGCTACCTTTCTGGGAGCTGACAGCCTATGCATTAAGATGGTGAGTCTTGGGTGCCACTAATAGGGAGGAGTGGAAAAGGGAGATGAACAGCCCTTTCACTGGGTCTCTGACTCTGTGTTTGCATAATGTGACTGATGGGACATATCAGGTAAATTAGTATTTTGCTGGAAGGAAGATAGAGGAGTAGAAGTGTTCCGAAGTCTTTAAGCTTAAATTGTTCTTTGCATGGTATTGTGATGTTAACCATTAGGTACAGCCAAGAATCTAATTTAAAAGATGTTTCTAAATGCTTCCCGCATCTCATCTTTTACTAATTGTACTTTGGCTTTAAGTTCCTGGAGTTCTTCATAATTAGTCCGCCTTGGAATCAGGTAATCTTAAACTAATATAGAGATGCTTGCATGGAGCCATGCAAAGGGCTCTAGAGTCTGACCCTTTGCTTTCTTTTTATGCCACTAGGTCTTCTAGATGAGTTTCTTATGAATAATTTTAAAAGAAATCCTGTTTTGTTTTGTTTTTTAAAGATAGGAGGCTTTCCCCTCACCAGATACTTTTGGAAATTCAGGAAAATTTTGAGCTGTATGCGTATACAGTTATTCTGGTTCTTTTGCTCCTAGCTTAGATTGGCAGAAACGCAAACAAATTACGATGGGGTCTTAACAATCAAGAAAGTAAATACACAACTAAGAAAATAACTGTCCCTCAAGCAAGCTAAAGCCTAAAACTGTTCATTCCCTGCTATTTAAAAAGTTCTATTAATGGTGCCTGGTGGCTCAGTTGGTTAAGGGTGTAACTCTTGATTTTGGCTCAGGTCATGATCTCATGATTCATGAGTTCAAGCCCCAAGTCAGCTCCGTGCTGACAGCGCGAAGCCTGCTTGGGATTCTTTCTCTCCCTCTCTCTCTGCCCCTCCCCAGCTCATGTACTCACTCTCTCAAAATAAATAAACTTAAAAAAAAAAAATTCTTGGTTGAAAATTCCACTAGTCTGTCTCCTCCAGCCATGCAGATAAGGGAATGTTGGCCAGGCCTGGAGACCAGTTTTGTTCAGTCCCCACATGTGATACTAGCTCATAGCTTCAGAGCACAATTAGTTCCACACTCCAAGCCTCCGTTGATGTTTTTTTCTTAGCTGCCTTGTCTCAGCTCCTACGACAGTTACTGCAGCAATCAAGTAGCCGCCAAGGCTCTGCTGGACCACAAAAAACAAGATCACCGAGTCCAGGATTTCCTGCAACGATGTTTAGAATCCCCCTTTAGCCGCAAACTGGATCTCTGGAATTTTCTTGATATTCCAAGAAGCCGTCTAGTGAAATACCCTCTGCTTCTTCGAGAAATCTTGAGACACACACCAAATGATAATCCAGATCAGCAGCACCTGGAAGAGGCTGTAAGTTCATCTGTTTCTTCCTCTCTTTCCCTTGTTGTTTTCTCCCATAATGTCTAGGAGATTGGGTGAGTGAAGGGTCTCTGGGGACATGGATGGGACCCAGGGGTCTTGGTTTCCAGGCTTGGAAGCTGCCAAGTCATGTTTTTATTTTGCAAGTCACTTCTTCTCTCTCTGCCTCACTCTCCTAACCTATAAAATGCAGTGTTTACATGAAATACACTCTAAGGTCCCTTTGATTTCTAAAAGTTCTTGCTTCTGTACAGGTGCCTCTCTGATCTATAATTATGATTAATAATAAACTGTAATGTTTATTACAATGGTTGTGAGGATTAAGATCTCTGGAGATTTTAAATTGAATGTCTTTGTGTAGTTAGCAAATGGGAGTTGCCTCTTCCCTTAGCCCCTGAACCTATTTGTGAAGTTGACACCTATTTCAGATCCAGCTCTCCTTGGCCTCTGATTACAGGGAGGGACCTAATCAAACGTCCTGCTCACCAGCAAATGTTCATTAAATATGGGGAGAGATAGATTCTTAGTAGCAAGAGAAGACCAGGAAAAATGGGTCCATATCATGAGAATATTGTAAACGGTGAGTGTTCTGTCCAGAGAGTTTGGGTCTGATTGGGGTGCTCTGCGGGACAGGGAGGCAGTGGCAGGCCAGGAGGAGCCAGTGGCCTGAGAAAAGGTATGGAGAAATGACAGGACAGGTAATGTCTGGGGAATACTCTGGATCAGTCTGCCCAGAGAAGAGGATACTCTGAGGAAGCAGCAGGAGAGAAGGCTGAGGATGGGAGTTCAGATCTGGTTATGAGGATTTTAAATATCAATTTGAGATATGTTTCCTTTGTTGTGTTTTGTCTTTTTTCCTTTTTTTTAAATTTGTTTTAATGTTTATTTTTGAGAGAGAGAGAGAGAGAGACAGAGCTTGAGTGGGGGAGGGACAGAGAGAGTGGGGGACACAGAATCCAAAGCAGGCTCCAGGCTCTGAGCCATCAGCACAGGGCTTAAATAACTCGCCTAGAGCCAGAGCCAGCAAGTGATGAGGTTTGTGTCTGAACTCTGCTGGTGTGGACTGCAAATCCCGTGCCTCTTCCACTTCTTTATGCTCCTACACCACGGAGCTAAAAGCCTAGATGCTTCTTTGAGTCCCCCTTGCCTGTAGAATTGCAGAAAGCTATCTGGGGCCACCAGGCTTTGTGGAGAGGGCCTCACTGGTGCCGAGCTGGGCCAGGTGCCTCCTTGTAGGGATAGTGAAGAGTGTAGACTCTCTTGACTAATGGCAGACACACACAGACCAGGTCCCCAGTCCTGCATAGATGGGGGACACAGGCACTGGGTATGAGGCCCATCTCACTTCATCATGTCTGTTTTTATTACTGGGACAAGTACAGTAGCATTGCCTCCTCTCCATATTTCATCCCAGCAAGTGTGTGGTCTGCAGGAATGAAAACAACAGGGAGCTCGAGCTAGTCTAAATAATTACTTTTTTGAAGCACGTGAGTTTGCTCTGAGTTTACTGTTAAGATTTCTTCTTTTTAATATGCAGCATGAAAGAATAATGCTGTTTCCAAGATCACCCAGTGAGCTAAAGTTTGGGTTTAAAAACAGATAGGAATATAATTGTTTGCAATATGAAAGGATGGACCGGTTTCCCTAGTGCAAAAAATGTGATGTCATTTTTACAAGTTGAATCTGCACCTAGTTATTCAGGCAGATTTGTGTGTGAAGCATGGAATAGCTGTATTTCAAAATGTCTGCAAAGCAAGTCTTCCTGATGCCCATTTATACATGGAAGCACAGCAATGTTTTTTGTGGGGTGTTTTCGTCGTTGTTGTTGATGATGTTTTTGTCTTTTCAAATTCCTCTGGGCATTACCCCAGATGGGCAGAAATATTTAGCCCTGTACTCTTGGGTACATTGTGAATGCTTGATAAACATAAAACCCATAGCACCAATGTAGCTTGAATTACAGATTCCCTGAATAAATTTTCCACCTCTGAAAAGGGGAAGATCAGAGAACTGTTAACAAATTGCTCCTACATCCAATTGTCCAGTCCTCTGATTAGGTCTAAAAAAAGACCTTGCTTTTACTGCAGTGCATAAACTACCACGTTTTTATTAGAATTTCTTCATAGTGTTTTGGAGGGTTGATAGACATTTTCCCCAAAAGAGAACATTTTTAAATAGAACTTAGGATATTCAGAAATTCCAGAGGTCTGGTTGTTTAACATTTTAAATTCTAAGGAACGTTTCAGCCCAAACCTGATCTGGCAGACCGTCCTTTCCCTCTGCCCACCCCTGTTCCCTAGCTCCTTAAAAAAAAAAAAAAAAAAAATCACTGGAAGCAATGAGAACAGGTCCTGCTGTTCCTGCAGTGCTGGCTGCTATTCCTGGTTCATGTCGCAAGCCTACGAATAGATGATATTACCACTCAAGGAACTAGACAGGGTTTTCAGATTTCACTTTGAGGATGACGATTACAGCCTGTGTGGGTTTAACCCTTGTTCTGTTACCAGATATCTATCATCATCTTGCTTTACCAGTCGTGTCCCTTTGGTTTGAACCCTGATGAGAGATGCAACAATAAATTTAACTTAAATGCAAAGCTACTGTGACTATTTGCAATGCAGTCTGCTATATTCAACTGTATTTCTTGCTGCAGTCTACAAAATAAATTCCGCTCAACAACCAGTGCAAAGATTAGATGCTTATGGTGTACAGGTGGATATAACTAAAAGGCAATATTTTAATAAATGAAAGCAGACCCAGAGGTGCTATTTTAATGTCCACAAAGAATGTGGAATTACACTGATATATTCTATTGTTTTGTCTCTATTTTTTCAAACATCAAAGAAAGACGTAGCATTTGACAGTAGTCATAGCTGCCCCAGGAACCACTGCAGTGTTTGAGCTTATTGATCTTCATGTGATGTGCCAGCTGTTCAGTTTCTGAGTTAAATTAGGAAGTGAACATGTATTTATGCCTATAGTACATCATCTTTCTGGTTTCCTGGATACTTATACCAAACTCAGAAAATTGACTCAAGACCCAGTTAATTACAGGTATACCTAGTAATAGTAAACTCTAAGAAGAGCCACAGCAATTAATGCTACTGGTTTAAAAATAAGGGAAAAGTATGGATTCCACTACATATTAAAAATGTAATAAGGTAAAAGATCAAAGTAGACTGGGTGCCTGGGTGGCTCAGTTGGTTGAGCATCGGTCTGAACTCAGGTCTTGATCTCGGGGTCATGAGTTCAGGCCCACATTGGGCTCCACACTGGGCTCCATGCTGGGCATGAAGCCTACTGAAAGAAGAAAAAAAGATTAAGGTAGGCATAAAACGATTTTTCAGATACCTCCCATATATTCTTAAGCTTCTTGAGGGCAAGGACCCTGTCTCACTTCTTTGAATGCTGCCATCTAGTTCCACACTGAACCCATGATCAACAAGGATTAATTGAATTAATTTGAAGGATGAGTCATTGCTTTAGTATGTGTTGTGAAATTTCTTTTTTTTTTTTTTTTAATTTTTTAAGTTTATTTATTTATTTTGAGAGAGAGGCAGAGGAAGAGAGAAAGCAGGGGAGGGCCAGAGAGAAAATCCCAAGCAGGTTCTATGCCGTCAGCAAAGAGCCCAACGCAGGGCTCGAACTCACGAACCATGAGATCATGACCTGAACTGATATCAAGAGTTGAACTCTTAACCAACTGAGCCAGGCACCCCTGAAATTTCTTTTTTTTTTGTTTGTTTTTGAAAGTAACAATAATCAGTCATATTTGAAAACCAAAACCAAGAGGGGAGAAAAAAAAAAAAACAAAGAGAAAGTTTATGGACCAAAGTGTTCTTTTTATTGTTTTATGTTAATAAAACTAGGATTAATTTCATAGGATTTATATTTAATGCCAGATTGACATTAAAGTCCAAAAGGATTGTTTTATGATACAAAAACCCTGGTTTTTTTTTTAAATGATACGTTATTTTTTTTTTTGTCAAAGTAGTGCTACCACCAAACGTTGGGAAATAGAAGAAAGAATAAATGAGCTTTGAAACTTGTAATAGCTACAGAAGTATACAGATTATGCATCTGTTCATAGGATACAGTCACCAGACTTCAGCGCAGAGCTGTAAGATCTTATGTCAGACTTGTGTGGAAGTGCCAAAGTTATAACCGGGTAGAAGTTTCTATCCAATTGGCTTTGGGCAGAAGGTATCATTTCATTAGCATGTGAAAAATAATTACTTAACACTTAGATTTTACTGCCAATTTAACAGATTATAAGATGTGGTAAGTTCTCATGGAGTAAAGGCCTCTTTTAAAACCTTGCTTTTCAGCTATTGGTTTGTTTTTCCATTAAGTAACCATTAAGTGACCAAAGAGAGTCCTTATTAACGTTTCTCATCTATTAAGCTCTTTCCTATTAATACCACCACAAGTCCTGGGTTGCAAAGGTGGCTAAATATTCACAAATCAATCAGCGTGATACACCATACTAATAAAGAAAAGGATAAGAACCATAGGATCATTTCAACAGATGCAGAAAAAGCATTTGACAAAGCACAACATCCATTCATGATAAAGACCCTCAACAAGGTAGGTTTAGAGGGAACATACCTTAAAATCATAAAGGCCATATATGAAAAACCCGCAACTAATATCCTCAATGAGGAAAAACTGAGAGCTTTTCCTCAATGGTCAGGATCAAGACAGGAATGTCCACTCTCACAATTGTTAGTTAATATAGTCCTAGAAGTCCTAGCCACAGCAGTCAGACAACAAAAAGAAAGAAAAGGTATCTGGGCACCTGGGTGGCTCAGTCAGTTAAGCCTCCAACTTCGGCTCAGGTCATGATCTTGCAGTTTGTGAGTTCAAGCCCTGTTTTGGGCTCTGTGCTGACAGCTCAGAGCCTGGAGCCTGCTTCCAATTCTGTGTCTCCCTCTCTGTCCCTCCTGCCTCGTGCTCTGTCTCTCAAAAATAAATAAACGTTAAAAAAATTTTTCTTAAAGAAAAGACATCCAAGTCTGCAAGGAAGAAGAAAAACTTTCACTATTTACAGATGACATGAGACTCTATATAGAAAATTCAAAAAACTCCACCAAAACACTGCCAGAACTGATAAACAAATTCAGTAAAGTCTCAGGATACAAAATCAACATACAGAAGTTGGTTGATTTTCTATATACCAATAATGAAGCAGCAGAAAGAGAAATTAAGGAATCAGCCACATTTATAATTGCACCAAAAATATTAAGATACCTTGGAATAAACCTAACTAAAGAGGTGAAAGACATCTTCTCTGAAAACTGACTGATGAAAGAAATTAAAGATGACACCAAGAAATGGGAAGACATTCCATGCTCAAGGATTGGAAGAACAAATATTGTTTAAATATCTATGTTACCCCAAACAGTCTGTACATTTAACGCAATCCTCATCAAAATACCACCAGCATTTTTCATAGAGCTAGAACAAACAATCCTAAAATTTGTTTGGAACCACAAAAGACCCCACATGGCCAAAGCAACCTTGAAGAAGGAAAGTAAAGCTGGAGGCATCAGAATTCCAGACTTCAAGTTTATATTACAAAGCTATAGTGATCAAAACAGTGTCGACTGGCACAAAAGTAGACACATAGGTCAATGGAACAGAATGAAAACCCAGAAATGAACCCACAACTATATGGTGAACTAATCTTTGACAAAACAGGAAAGAATATCCAATGGGAAAAAGACAGTTTTTTCAACACATGGTATTCAGAAAACTGGACAGCAAAAGAATGAAACTGGACCCTTTCTTACACCATACACACACAAAAAAACTCAATATGGATTAAGAACCTATATGTGAGACTTGAAATCATGAAAATCCTAGAGGAGAACACAGGCAGTAACCTCTTTGATATATATAGGCTATAGCAACTTCTTTCTATATATGTCTCCTGAGGCAAGGGAAACTAAAGCAAAAATAAGTATTGGGACTTAATCAAAATAAAAAGCTTCTGTACAGTGAAGGAAATAACCAACAAAACTAAAAGGCAACCTACAGAATGGGAGAAGATATTTACAAATGACATATCTGATAAAGGGTTAGTATCCAAAATATGTAAAGAACTTATAAAACTCAACACCCAAAAGATGAATAATCCAGTTAAAAAATGGGCAGAAGATATAAATAGATATTTTTCCATATGGCCAACAGACATAAGAAAAGATGCTCAACATCACTGATCATTAGAGAAATACAAATCAAAACCACAATGAGTTATCACCTCACACCTGTCAGAATGGCTAAAATCAACAACACAAGAAACAACAGGTGTTGGTGAGGATGTGGAGAAAGAGGAAGCCTCTTGCGCTGTTGGTGGAAGTGCAAATTGCTGCAGCCACTCTGGAAAACGTTGTGGAAGCTCCTCAAAAAGTTAAAAACAGAACTACCCTACAATCCAGCAATTGCACTACTAGGTATTTACCCAAAGAATGCAATAATGCAAATTCAAAGGAACCCATATACCCCAGTGTTTACAGCAGCATTATCTACAATAGATAAGATATGGAAACAGTGCAAGCATCCATCAACTGATGAATGGATAAAGAACATGTGGGGGTGTGTGTGTGTGTGTGTGTGTGTGTGTACACACACACACACACACACACACACACTAGATTATTACTCAGCCACAAAAAAAGAATGAAATCTTGCCATTTGCAATGACCTGGATGGAGCTAGAGGATATAATGCTAAGGGAAATAAGTCTGAGAAAGACAAATATCATGTGATTTTCTCATATGTAGAATCTAAGAAACCAAACAAACCAGCAAGGGGAAAGAGAGAGAAAGGTGCAAATGAAGAAACAGACTCTTAACTATAGAGAACAAACAGGAGAGGTGAGTGGGGGATAGGTTGAATAGGTGATGGGGATTAAGGAGGGCACTTGGGATGAGCACCAAGTGTGGTATGTAAGTGTTGAATCACACTACATTGTACACTTGAAGCTAATATTACACAGCATCTTAACTCATTGGAATTTAAATAAAAACTTTTTAAAAATACTACCATGAGAAATATGGGACTGTTTGGTCTTTTCACTATTAGAGGACAGAGGACCCTGCTGAGGAAGTCATCATTTTGCCTTTGATTGGTGTCATTGAGTTTTTACTCAACTAATTTTTTGTTCCTTTGGTTTTTAGCATTTTCTAACTTTTAGACATATTCATGTGATAGAACAACAACACATCAAAATAAATGCCCACTGATTGTGTATGAGTGCTGTATTCTTGTTGCTTTGTTTTGTTTCATTCTGTATTAACAACAGTACATCCACCATTGCTCTGAAATCTCTACCCCTAATTTATTTACATGTGCTATGGGCATGGGTATGAGTGTATGTATATAGACAAATGGTTCCCATCGTGATGCCTAGTGTCTTTTCTTTCTATTTCTAGTTCTCTGTCCTTTATAAATCATTTATGTTTATCACTAAAAAGATATCCAAACCATTTCTTCACACCCAATTTGCAAATACTGTTTGTACGTATTTGTAGGTATTTGTAGGTATTGAGTACCTGTAGAGAGACCTTGAAACTGAGTTCAAATCCCCAAAGATGTTCCCTTCTTGGGCTACTACATTTGCTTTGTTTTTTCTCCTTGGCTGAAGTTTTTATATGCCTATGTTTTCAACATTGTAAGCATGTTTTAGGAAATGTGCAACATAAAGTTCAGTAGTTATGAGTCCTGCACATTGAAAACTGTACTTTATATCTCTTCCTCTCAAATAGAAGTATGCATCAACATCAGTTTTATAAACAAATATCTGTACCTGTATATAAATATATATGTGTGAATATGTGTATCTGTGTGTACATGTATAGATGGATAGCACAGTATATTAAAAGCATTTATTTATTTTTGCTGTTTCCCAAAACAGCAAGTTAGATAACAGAATCTCAGAATTAGATGCAAATCTATCTTGGTGACCTTCTAGGCTGAGCCCCTGGTACTTCTTGGTGTGGATGGTTTGCTTACTTTCCTCCTACTGTCTTCTTTGTTTCCACAGATAAACATCATTCAGGGAATCGTGGCAGAAATCAACACCAAGACCGGGGAATCTGAGTGCCGCTATTATAAAGAGCGGCTTCTTTACTTGGAAGAAGGCCAGAAAGACTCTCTAATCGACAGCTCGAGAGTGCTGTGTTGTCATGGAGAACTGAAGAACAACCGAGGCGTGGTGAGTGGCTCCTCTTCTTCAGTGGTCTCCTCCTGGGCCTCCCCCAACACTTAAGCCATTTGATGCTAAGCCTCCTGTTACTGTGCCTTCCCCATCAAGCATCTTCAGACAAAAATTGCTTTCCAGTGTTTTTTATATCACAGGATCCCATATATATATATATATATATATATATATATATATATATATATAGTTCTATATAGTTCTATATAGTTATATATATAGTTACATACCTTGTATATATGTATTTCTATATTACACATATAATTTATAAATAATATGGGTTGTGTGTTTCTAACTTATATTTATATATATTACACAAAGTATAGATTATATACATATTTTAAAATTTCACAACCAGTACATTTTCAGGAAGAATTTTGGAAACCAACACAGGGTTGCCAACTTTGTATTTTGTTTGATCATGACCTTCAACAACAAATACAGAACAGTTAACATCTCCTCCCACTTTGATATCAGAAAACCAGGGTGATTTGAACAGGTTGTTAAAAGCAGGAAACAGAAAAACAGCTCTTAAATTAAAACTCTTAGCTTTATGAGAAATTCTTTGCGTTTTTATGGATTGGTACCCATCCACAGACTGCTATTTTAAGACCAGTTTTTGTTTTTTTAAAACAATAGCCTACCCTCTATTGGCTGCATATCTAACTCTGCCCAATTTCCTGACTTTTATTCCTGAGTAGATATTGAATTTGTTCCTCCTCTCCTACATAGCAACTTGGACAGATCTCCCTGGAGCACTTAACTGCCATGGGTTGTAATTATCCATCTGTCTGTCACTCTCTTCCATTATGCTATAATCTTTTAGGGTGGAGACTGTGTCTTGTTAATCCCCAGCACCAATTATGGGGACCTGACACGTACTAAGCACTCAGCAATGTTAGGTGAATGAGTGAGTGAATGAATGAATGAATGTTTGTATAAAAAAGAATGGATTTGAATTTTATGGGAGTTCGAAATTCATTTAACTCATCAGGCTACTTTTATGTATAAGCAATAGAAATTAATGCTAATATGTATATAATTTTTATGTATTATACATAAAAATGTATATATAATGTGTAGATTTTATTATAGATAATATATATTTAAATTCAATGTTGAGAAAGCCATTGAGAAAGAGAATCTCCACTTGTATATCATCTTCAGTATCTAGTCAACCCTTAGAAGGGAAGCCAAAACTAGATTGAATAGTTCTTAATAAAGCTTTGATGATTCAAAGGACAACCTTTGACCTGGAGTATGGAGTAGCATTTGTAAGCAGGCTTGGAAATGTTATTTGAAATCACTGAGTGTATGTCATAAGCACCCATTATCAGAGCTAGTAGGGATCCATCCAACTGCTGGTACAACAGAGGTAATAAGACAGGTCACAGGCCACTGCTTGAAGAAGTGTTTCTGTTTGACTAGAGTTACTGATTGCTAGAAAGCTACATTCTGCTTCTTGCTGATTTTCAGAAAGCACCAGTGGACTTCTAATGTCTGATACTCTGACTTCTTGAACATTCTTTGTCAAAAGCCCTGTGGGAAATAGTTGGGAAGATTTATCACTCCTGAGATGAGAGCGTATTCTCTTTCTGTCCATCAATCAAGGACTGAGACTCTCTGGTTGGATGTGCCTAGGGCATTAAAGATGAACTCTAGTTCATATTTCAAGCAATAGATTTTTTAAAACAAAGATAGTAGTTGGGGTGGGAGGTTTGTTTTAGTTGTTTTTCCCAACAGAATTATGGAAGTCATTAGGAACTAAGTCCTGTATCAAGAGAAAAGCTCAATCGTTTGAGAACTAAAAGGAGCTGAGACTAAGGAGGGGAATTTTCAGTGAACACTCATAAATAAGGGATGTTTTTCAAAGATTTAACAGACAATCTGCGTTCAAATTGCCTACCTTGGCTGAAGGATTGATTGAAGTAGAAACATTGTAAAAATCTCTGATCATGTTTACAATGACAACCCCTTCTCTCCCCATCCCCAAAAGAAAAGTCTCAACATTCTTTCTACATTCCCCCCTCAAAAAAAAATAAGTCCTTAACTTGGTTATTTTTTGTTTTACTCTGTCTAAATGAACATTTGATCCTTTTGATAAACAAAATCCCACTCCTCAATCTCTTCCCACCCAGTACAAAATTATCATTTGTATTTCCACCAGCCAACATGTGGTTGAGCTTTAATTTCTGCAGGTGTGTGTGTGTGTGTGTGTGTGTGTGTGTGTGTGTGTGTGTGTGTGTTTGTGAGCGTAGGCATGGGGGGATGCATCTTTTCTCCCAAATATAAAATTGTCTGATAATGCTGAATGTGCTTCCCGTGCCCCAAATCAAGATGCTAATGTGAGTTTCCACCTGGGTTCGTGCTCCCAAATATCTCCACTGGAAAACCAGAACCCAGCTGCCGAAGTTGTAGATCTTTTCACTTCAATTCATCAGCATTTCCAAAGTGTGAGATGAGCCTCGCACTTGGAATGGAATAGAGCCAATTTACCCCAGCTCCACCCAGCAAAACTGCTTTCATGATGTGGTTGGAGACAAGCCTTTATTTTTGAGATTTTCTTTGTGCCCACAACACACACATCAGTCATCAGCCTTTAAAGTACAACCTCTTCAGAGAACTGAGGTTAACATAACCGAGATTAACATAACCGAGAAGGACCAATGCTTTGATTATCTTTCTCTGTGGCTACGGTGGCATGCTCTGGTTCCCTCAGGGATGGGCATTGTTCTGAGTTGGAGTGCCTGGATGGAGCTGATACTCAGCTCTGTGGTTTAAGAAACAAGTGTTTTTATGGGTTTGGGAAGCAAAGATTAATATTAGGCTTTGATATGCCAGGCGCATCCTTTATAGACTATTGTTCAATATGATCTCTTAGAATTATATTAGGTGCTACAAACCAAAGCTGGGGTGGAGGTACTAACTTCTTTTTCTTTCATTGCCCCCTTTATTCTACTCCCCCTTCTTATTTTTTTCTTATGGAAGCCAGAGGCTGTGTGTGTCTGCACAGGTTGTGAACTGCAATGTGAATGTTGTCCCTGAAGCGCACATTCCTGGTTGCAGATGTCTGTAGGCCCTAGGGAGTCACTCCCCCGTGAAAGACACTAGGTGCATCTGGGAATACCTCCAAGTTGCCCAGCTTCTGTTCTGGAGGTAGATTTGAGCCTAGAAATTCATAATACAATGTGAACCTGGTACCTGAGGACCTCTTCTCCACAGAAGTCCACTAATATTTCTAGACCGTTGCTTAGAGAAATCCTGCGGATTCTTTTCTCCTAGAAACTTCATGTTTTCCTGTTCCAAGAAGTGCTTGTGATCACTCGAGCCGTCACCCACAATGAGCGGCTCTGCTACCAGTTGTACCGGCAGCCGATCCCTGTAAAGGACCTCCTACTGGAAGACCTGCAGGATGGAGAAGTGAGGCTGGGTGGCTCCCTGCGTGGCGCATTTAGCAACAATGAGAGAAGTACGGATGGCAGTCGGTTTTGATCTGTTGAATGGGTTTGGTTGTGGCGGTTCAGAAGGAGTGGATGGCTGGGGGAAAGAGAGGAGCCATCACCTTGGAGTCAAACTACATTCCAATGCTATCTCATCAGTCACTGACTGTGTAACCTTGTGCAACCTCTGTGAGCCTCAGTTTCTCATCTGCAAAATGGGCATGTATGCATACTTTATCAGGTTGTTATAAGGATTAAGATACTGCAAGTGAACCTGTCTGCACATAACAGGGGCTCTTTAAATTCCCCTTCTCTGTCTCCTTCCATTGGATGAAAGCATGCTTACTACCAGATAGCCCCTATGTAGATACCAGCTGCTTACTGCTGGCTCTTGTTGAGCCAGCAGACTCATCCCTAAAGAGGCTTAAGGATGGTCACCTGGTTGAGGATTCATCTGTAATTATGTAAATGGACCTCTCTAACTTGAGACTTAATGAACAAGGAAATTAACCAAGAGAAGCTAAGATGGCAGTGTTTACTGAGTGTCTTATATGTGTCGTTCGAGGCACTGGTACACACTGGTCAACTAAACAGTCAAATTCCTTGCCCCTGTGGAGCCTACATTGTAAGAGAGGAGATAAATGATGAATAAATATTCAGGTGCTGTTCAGAGAACTAAACCCCAGCATGGGATAAATAGGGATAACAGTTGCCAGTTTGCTTTAGAGGAAATGATCAGAGAAGTCTTCCTTGAGAAAGTGACATTTGAGTGTTTTCGGTTAACATTGGCATCATATTTTCAAAATAATTATTTGTACTGCCTCTTACCTACTCATCAGTCCACCCACCCTGGTGGTAGTGGTGATGGTGGTGATGTAGTAGTAGCTTCTATTTCTTGAATACTGACTATGTGCCAGGCGTTGTATGAGCACTCACATGTATTATCACATTTAGGCCTCATGATAACCTTATAAGGTAGGTTCTCTTTGTTTCTCCCATTTTACAAATAAGGACACTGAGACACAGAGGACTTAAGGCACTTGCCCAAGAGCAAAGGGTGGAGCCTGAATTTGTCTAAAGTGGTGGTTCCCAGTCTGTTGGCTACAGGGATAGTGCAAGGGAACTGAACACACACGCTTCTGTGAACCAAGCATTGCCCATGGCATGCGGGGCCCGTTATGTGCCAGTTAAGCTAAATAAAATGTCTTCCGTGTTGCGCACTACCATTTTTCAAATGCACGTAGCTCCTATGGAGGTAGTTGTAATTTTATTTTAAAATGAAATGAAATTTATAAGTCTTTACATATCTTCTCAATCATTTGGGTACTCCATGTACAGGTACTATAATGTGGAGGATTTGGGGCATGTTTTGATATTGCAAAGAGCTTCTTCAACTTGAAAAGTCTCTAGCTTGGGGCGGTTGTAGAAATTCCAGATTACCAGGCTCATCTTACACCTACTGAATCCAAACCTGTAAGGGGAGGGTCTCGGCATATATGTTTTTAATAAGCTCACAGGGGATTTTAACACACATCCAGGTTTAAGCTGATGTCCGTTTGCTAGCCTCAAGGGCGACTGAAAGCTACACTGGTGTCAACTCCAGGTCAACTCCAGTTGATTGATGGTGGCTGCAGGGTATTGCTGAGCCATGTCACGGACCAGTGGGACACATTTTGTAATCAATTAATGATGTCTGCTCTGGTTCAGGGGGTTAATGTCACCATATATGTTATCTTTGCCCTGGGAGCTGCCTGTCCATTGATCTTTCTTATGCATGTTTTTCATTTCTAGTTAAAAACTTCTTCAGAGTGAGTTTCAAAAACGGATCCCAAAGTCAGACCCACTCGCTACAAGCCAACGACACCTTCAACAAACAGCAGTGGCTCAACTGTATTCGTCAAGCCAAAGAAACAGTGCTGTGTGCTGCCGGGCAGGCTGGGGTGCTGGACTCCGAGGGACCGTTCCTCAATCCCACCACCGGGAGCAGGGAGCCACAGGGAGAAACAAAACTTGAGCAGATGGACCAATCAGACAGTGAGTCAGACTGTAGTATGGACACAAGTGAGGTCAGCCTAGACTGTGAGCGCATGGAACAGACAGACTCTTCCTGTGGGAACAGCAGGCACATTGAAAGCAACGTCTGACAGAAGCGTGTGTACTTCCTGGAAGTAGCCCTTTGTCTTACCTGTACAGTATTTGCATTCCACACATGGAACGGTTTGGAGAAGCACTTTTTAATATTTTTGTGACCGTGTTGACCCAGTTTCTTGTATCTGTACCTTTGTCCTTAGTACTGTAACTGCCAATCTGTCTGTGTAAGCTGGGATCTGTGGCAACCGTTACCCTGTATTGTATTCCACAAGTGTCTGGATAGATGGAGGGGTACTTGAACAAGTTACTTTCAATTGTCCTGCTGGATTTTAAAACTAGAAAAGAATCTCTAAACTACTGTTCCATGTAGATTGCTTAAAAGAGTCTTTCCATGTTTCTATAGTGCTTTTCTAGCCCTTTGACATGGTAGCTGAAGGCATGGAGTATACAGGGCCTTGCAAAAAGGGCATGAGGAAGTCACTTGTGTATCATGATGGTATTCGAAGGAAAATGGGAAAAGATCAATCCTTGCAGTGAACTTGGTTCAATGTTATCCAACCAGAAAGCATGAAAACATCCCTGGGGATCCTGGATCCTTAATTTTGCAAAGCAAGAAGCACTGTGTGGACCTTGCAATGTCATCCAGTGCATATTTGATGCAATAATCTATTAGGACGTGGAATAGTGTCTGACCTTAAAAGGACCAGCACAAAAGCAGCTGTCAGCTCTGAATCTTGAACTGAAATGCAGTTGCACCGGGAGGAGGGAGTGTGTCTCTGTCAAAGTTGTTGGCTTGCCGTAGAGAGCCATTTCTAGCCTAAAACACCAGAATAGAACTCGAAAGGTTTGGGAATATCTGACAGAATAATGAGAAGGCCCATCTTCGTTTTGTTTCATCTGCCAAGCCGTACTCATATTTTGGAGCATTGAGCAAGAGACTGCAGGAGAGTCCATGCCTCTGTTCACAGAAACATATGAGAAGAAGAATTTGGAAGAAGTGCTTCATCATGACCTCTTACAGGAAACATTAAGAGCAAAGCCAGGTCTAGTGCCCTTCTGAGAAAGGCCAGAGCCTTGGGTTTTCCTGTTCTGCTTTTGGGTCATCACTTTGCCACCTTGGCCCTGTGCTGTGATCAGAGCCATAATTACATTCTCCAAAGGCCAATTTTAATTAACTCTGATTAATTAGAATCAATTAGCGAAATTAGTAACCTCTTTGTCCAGCTTTGGCTTACAGTGCAGGGTAGATTGCAGATCTTAAAAAAAGCTAACTGAATACACAGAAAAGCTCCCTGTGAGTGTAAATATTAAGGATGACCTGTGCAAAATTATTCCCACACCAGCACTAGTAGTAATGATTCTAAATTATTGCCAAAAAGTTTTTTTTAATCTTCTGTGTCTTTCGAGTTTACAGAAAGCAGTAAACGCTGTGTTGTCATTTTATGATGTACATCTAATATGTGCATTCAAAGAAGCTGTGTGACAAGATGTATCATTATAAAAACAAGGTAATATTACTTATTTTTCAAAAATGAAAAAAAATATTGTGGTCAATTATACCCTGTAAAACAGATTTCTGTATTTATAGATTTTAAACATGGTGAATTTTTTTTCTATTACAAGTTTATTTAAAATTGCTTTTGTTCTCAAATTGTTATTGATTTAGCAAGTGAATGAACTGCTGCAGATAGAAGCAGACAGAAGCTGAGAACCTGTTGCTTGATGATGGGGGAAAGAGTGAATCATTCTCTGCAGGAGCCCTCGGCCACTTTGGCTAGTGGGTTGAGGCAAGAGGTCTGTTAAGTGCTGGCCTATGGGAAGAAAGTGAATGTTTTGATGAAATGAATGTTTTTGTATAAAGGCCTTAAACTTTTCTGGAAGCATTTCAAATAAATTACATTAAAATAGCATTCTCTCTGTGTATAGTGTGTGTCCTACAAATGTCAAATTTCAGCTATCTTCCTGGGAGGTTCTTTCTGAAATGTTTGCTTGTTCTGCCCAAATACTAACTTTAAAATAGGGTGCAGGATAAAATAAATGCTCTGATTTGATCTATCAAAACTTTTGTAGAAGTCCTATTTCTAAGATCTGTTTTTTTCAAGCATTCCCTACTCATTCGCTTAATTCATTTATTCATGTTTAACAACTGTGTCTTCAATCTGTACTGCATGTAAAGTCAAGGGATAAGTCATAATTGTTACAGGAAAAAAAGTGTTGAGGGCGCCTGGGTGGCTCAGTCAGTTAAGCATCAGCTCTTTATTTCAGCTCAGGTCATGATTTCATGGTTCATGGGATGGAGCCCCACGTTGGGCTCTGCACTGACCATTCAGAGCCTGCTTGGGATTCTCTCCCTCCTTCTCTCTCTGCCCCTCCCTACCTCCAAAATAAATAAATAAACTTAAAAAAAAAGCGTTGGGGCGCCTGGGTGGCTCAGTCGGTTAAGCGTCCGACTTCAGCTCAGGTTGTGATCTCGCGGTCCGTGAGTTTGAGCCCCGCGTCGGGCTGTGTGCTGACAGCTCAGAGCCTGGAGCCTGTTTCAGATTCTGTGTCTCCCTCTCTCTGACCACCCCCCCCCACCCCGTTCATACTCTGTCTCTCTCTGTCTCAAAAATAAATGAAGATTAAAAAAAATTTTTTTTTTAAAGTGTTGAAACTCATTACTAGGATAGGTGACCATTGAGAAACTTGAGGCCAAATAGTAGAAGGCAAATTCCACTTTGAAATTCTTACTGGAAATTCAAGCCACTTTTTCTTTAATTAAAATGATTAGTTTTATTCCTACAAAAAGTAGTCTTTAGATGAAAGGGCTAAACAATTTGAAGCTATGGGTCATCCATTCTTAGTAGTAAGGTGGCCCAACAGAGCTGGTGCTTAGTCTCACCTTTATAACAAGCTCCCACCATTTTCTTTGACATATTGTTAATTCCAAGATTACTCAAGATATTCACATGAATGTAAGTCCAATTTTTTTGCCCAAATAAAAACTCATTCCTCCTCATTCTCTTCATCTTTCTCCTTCCTTTTCATCCTCCTTGTCCTTCTTCTATGCCTCTTTGGGTATTCCCTCCACTTCTCATTCCCATGATTGTACTGACTTTGATATTGGAGGGTGTGTCCCTAGCAGTGTATTAGAAAATGTACTGACATGCTGTGGGTTAGTACAAATGACTGGGAGCTAAATGGTTTTCTTCGGTCTATTCTCAAGATGTTATTTTACACATAACTAAATGTAATCCTTGCAGTTGAAATGAAAAGTCATAAGCAAAGAAGAGTCAGAACTAGCAATTTTGTGCAAAATTAGAGTGTGGTTTCAGCTTCTGGGTTGTGGTCACCACCACTGGCTGCTTTCATTTCCATTCCTGGCACCGTCTCTAGCAGCTGGGAATGCAAAAATCGTCATTACAACACTGTTGTTTTCACAAAGTCTCAGTGGGTACAGGAAACTGCAGCCCACTGTCTTGGTGGACGAGCTGTTCGACTTTCCATTTGCATTCTATATCCACCTTTAACTAATTCTTCAAAAGCCTGAGGACTTTTGAGGAGATTTGGTTACACAATTCTACCTGGGCCATTTCCCCTACCCGGCTCCCCTTGGCCTTGTGGAAAACCCCCCACTGAACCCCCCCCCCCACTTCTCACTGATGTAGTTGATTCATTTAACTCATACTATTCTGTTTGTTGACAGAATGCTAGAATTATGGTATCAGAAGGGAATTTGAAGAAGGTGAATCAAGCCCAAACCCACCAGAAGAAATGTGAAGATCATAAAGATTTAAAACCTTGCCCATAGGAACACATAATGAGAAAAGGTGACATATTCACGGCACCTACAGGGTCTTTACACAAACAAGCTGCAAAACAATCACTGTTCCTTGTATCCCAGCTCCTTTCTCCAGGCTTGGTTGGCACATCAGTCAGCTATGTAGATCCACCCAGATAAGCACTTCTTTCTTTTTTTTTTTTAATGTGCATTTATTTTTCAGAGACAGAGGGTGAGCGAGGCAGGAGCAGAGAGAGAGGGAAACACAGAATCTGAAGCAGGCTCCAGGCTCCGAGCTGTGAGCACAGAGCCCAGTGTGGGTCTCAAACCCACACGCAAACCACGAGATCATGACCTGAGCTGAAGTTGGACACAACCGATTGAGCCACCCAGGTGCCCCAGACTAAGCACTTCTTTAACTGACCTGGTCCACATAGCAAGGAATTAGAAACCGTGCTCTGTATCTGAGAACTGATCATCTAGTTCAGGAAACTGCACATGCATTCTAAATAACTTGTCCATTTATACATATGTATTCACACACAAGCACACCTAAATATTAATGACCTGTGCTACTCATCTGTGAATGGTTTGAAGAATATCACCCTGAAGGTATTGTATTCAGTGTATCTATTTTCATATCTGTGAACACTTTAAAAAGTGAGACTGTGAATGTGAAATCACTTTGGAAATTAGTAAGAGCTAATAGTTTTCATTAGTGTTATTTAATACTCACTTTTTTTAATTTTATTTTTTATTTTTTAAAATTTACATCCAAATTAGTTAGCATATAGTGCAACAATGATTTCAGGAGTAGATTCCTTAGTGCCCCTTACCCATTTAGCCCATCCCCCCTCCCACAACCCCTCCAGTAACCCTCAGTTTGTTCTCCATATTTATGAGTCTCTTCTGTTTTGCCCCCCTCCCTGTTTTTATATTATTTTTGTTTCCCTTCCTTATGTTCATCTGTTTTGTCTCTTAAAGTCCTCATATGAGTGAAGTCATATGATTTTTGTCTTTCTCTGACTAATTTCACTTAGCATAATACCCTCCACTTCCATCCACATAGTTGCAAATGGCAATACTCACTCTTAAATTTACACCTGGTGTTATGATATTTCTCAAAAATATGATGTTGGCCTTTTTCACTGTACTGCACACTTCAAAGGGGGGGTGAGTGGTCTTCTTAATCCAGCAAATCAGGAGTATTTTTTTAGATTTTTTTTTTCTTTGGCATTTTCCTTCCCGCAATTATCTGTTTTTTCTTTCAGGAACTCCAGAAAGAGAGATGTT